CGCGTACACTTATGTCCAGTCAAAATTGATTGGTATCGTAGATTCACTTCGTATGGCGCTCGAGCAGGCTCGACAGTACTGCAGGTATTTTCAAAAATAATAAAATGACTCCTTGCCCATATCATCTATCATACTCAGTTTTATTCCTAACAGCAGCTTGTTAAAAACCGCCCAGGACTGTTTAGATACAAGCGGTAGTAAAACTAAAATATAAAACACAGCAGAGATAGTAACGCATTGCAGCGCGCTGCATAAGTTTGTTGGGTTCGCCACACTCCACGGTGACCTCTTGATACACAGAAGGACCGGAAATTACTAAAATTCTGCTTGGCTCTGCCTGCCATGGTTAGGATTGCTAGTTTGGGTCACAAGTAGCGAAGGAAAGGAGACTGGAATTTTGTCATGAAAGGAACTGAAAACTTTCTTAAAGATAAAACTGGAGATGGTATACATTAAAGCTGGTAAGGTTATGCTTGCGCTCCAATATCTCTCTGAATCAAGAACTATGTACGACCATGATTTCCCTATAAACCCAGAAATGAGTGCATTTTCTTCCCCCTTACCCCACCCCTCCGCCCCAAAAGAAAAAAAAAAGTGCATTTAGCGCGTTGGACATTTGTTTTCGTAATTACAAAAAAATCGCCTCCGAATTACACTTCCATCTGGCTGCCAATTCTTTCGGGTATCGTCACTGGTTTCAGCAATCTTTTTCAGGTATAGTGCCGGCAGAGGCTATTATTGGGAGTTTAAAGAGTCTGAGGGCGAAACTACTAAAAAAGTTAGTTGTTTTAACTTTTGGTTTTTTCACCGTATCTCGCTTACCGCACGTGTTTTCAGTGAAGCGGCAGAGCTTTACGTTAAAATTGTACCCTGATACTTTGAGCAGATGCAGTTTCATTGCCACCACAGAAGCAAAAAAGTGTGTTTTTCCATATCACTGAATATCTTTCCTCCGTCCACTAACCTTTCACGAGTAGCATTGGGCAGTCTGTTTTGCTGTTCCGTTGCTTCTTGCCATATCAGCGATCCAACAGTAGTTCTTCCTGGTACATATTCAAAACCCCATCCGTGTTTTACTCTCCATGAGAAGAAAGTAGCCGAAGTGATAGCAAATGCCATTAGCAGTCACCCGCTGACAAGGCTGTTGATCTTTCGCTTCTTGAGAGTTACAAACAAGCTGATGGTGGATTTAATTCCCTGGACATGCCAGTACCAATTTTCCATCAAAGCGAATCGTAGAGGGATTGGCTGTCTCACCGGCTGCACAGCAACAATGCTGCTCCGTCATGCTTGCTGGTATACATTACCTCAATAAAAGTTGTACTAAGAAACACACTTTATTTCATTGCTTTATAATTTGCTTCCGTAATTTGTCTGTCTGGATGTTATAGGCACCAAAAGAAGAGGAAAAACCGCAGCTGGCTCGAAGTACATATTATCACCGCACAAGAACAGACCCAATGCTGAGAGAACTTTTTGCGAAATTCCCTCCGCCCGACAACATTGTATGCTTTTTTCTCCCTAGTTCGATTTCCTGTGTATACAAAGTGTATGTCATTTTCAAGCTTTCTCTCAGTTTCTGGAAAAAAAAAAATCCTGAAATCTTTTCGGCTGCTCATTTGTTGTTACTGGCTTTATGCAGTAAGTACAGTTGTACTCCAGGAAAAAAAA